TTGTGGCCCATAGAACCCTTTGACGTATCACGAAGGTAGTACATAATGTATTAACTCTCTCCTTACCACGCAGTGATATAGCACAGCGGCGCTTTTTTCAGATCACATTACGACCCCGTCCAGGTTAATATGTAGAACATATTAGACAAGGTTTTATTATTTATTTAAACATTCAAAGGGAAACAAAGAAAATGGAATTCGGACAGGAGTTTGTCCTAAGTGAAACGAGGTTTTATTGGCATTGTGGTAGGAAGAAATAGTAATTGTTCTTCATTGGTTATATATATATGTATATATATATGTATATATATATGTATATATATATAATATATATATTACAATCATTATACAAGTACAAGTATACATAATATATACCGAAGTAGAGGCCTAGTTTCGCCCTGATCTCGAGTTATAGCTCATCACTGTGAGCTTACAGTGCAACAACAAAGGAGAAGATCAGATAAAACACAACAATGTGTGCTTGAAGCTTATAAAATGCAACTTAAAAAGCAATTTCACTTACAGTAGATGTTAAATAAAAGCTTTACAAAATTAATAATTGTCTTGTTTGATCATGGGTTCATTATCTGAATCAAAGGACCAATTCCCCAAAGTGGAACTCAATCACTGCAGACAATCGGTGGAGAAAGAAATAATGTACCAAGTTGTAACACTGCAACTGTAAGGTTACTTAAAAGTAAAGGTGGGAACTCCAAACTGAATGTCCTTCTCTGACAGGATCGGACCAAATTAGCATATATCTGTGTAAAGCGCCTTTCCCATATATGATATACTTTGGATTGAGCTGAGCCCAACCACTACTACTGACGCCACCGTAATCACTGGTTGATTGGCCTCAGCGGCCGAGTGAGGAGTGAGTTCTGATTGACCTAAAATAATCTCAAGAAAGAGTTGGTGTCATGGGATTCAGATGGGTGGTCACTGGGGTGTGTACTTGAGCAAGACATGATAACCCTAGCTAAAAATAAACAGGGCGCTGCACAATGGCAAGTTTGTAAAATTGTTCTTCATTAGTGCAGTTTGTATGTATATTTGTGTGTTTAATTAAGTATCTATGTATTCATGTTTTAAGAGATAAGATCACAGACAACAAGATTTTGGCAGAGAAAGTTCCATTGTCTGTGGGGTAACGGTTTCACTCCTCGCTCATGTTTTCAAAAGACATGGATTCGATTCCCGTTTGTGGAAGTCTAAATTATTCTTGTGGAATATCTCCATCTTTCTGTCAGTACGCTGTATCCCTCTCAGCCTTGGATTGACTAGGGCAAGCAGATTTTGAACAGATATATATATGTATATATATATATATATAGGCATGCAAAAATTTACAATCAATGTACAAATGAGAAAATAAGATGGTCCATATCATACAGTTTTACATTTTCAACACAATGAGAACTTTAAAGAAAAGAGATAAAGCACATGTAATAATAGGCCTACTCTTTAAAACAGGTCGTAATTGAAGCTTTTTTTTTTTTTTTTTATTAATCACGACCAGCACGGTATAGAACCCTTGTAATACCACAACTAAGATGGATACTCTCAGGGGATGTGCCTTCTGCCGGCTGACTTTGTTGAAACTGAAAGACCCAAGCAAGGTGTGGTATTTTTTTTCAAATAGGGTCTATGTGTTTTTACGCCCCCATCGATACAGAAACAGGTTTCAACGCTGCCTGTCAGGGCCAACCCATGCTGAGAGGGACGGAAAGTCCCAGCTAAATTACCAAGATATATGATAAAAATTCTCTACACACAAGAATCGAACTCAAGTTTCCCATGTGCAATGGCTAAAGGCCTTATAACTGCTACACCACAGACGACCGTTAGGTGCAGTCATCATTCAACATTGAAGTCATGTACAAAGTCACTAAATCCAAATACTTGAAATATATCTACTCTAACATCTGATGAATGAGGTTCAAACCATTGAGACATAGATTCAACCTTTCAGCTTCAAAGGTAAATTAAATAAGAAGCACACCCTATCCCTCTCAGTTAACACTTGTTCGACATGACTATCTAAAAAAACCCAAAAACCCCCAAAACAACAAACAAACACATCCATCGCGACAGTAAACTGCAATATTGAGCACATGGTGAGTATTTATGTTTGCCGCGGGATTGAGCTGGGAGAAAAGAGACAACAACGAACATGATATGTATGGAGATTTATACAAGATTTCGTCTTAATGCTGGTGGCTGTGTGCGGTTGGATTAAAATATCCTTGACTGTGCACTGTCATTGCTGCCATACTTTACTTTCTGTAAAACCTTAGCTGTGCGGGTGCGCATCACGATTGCCCAAGTGAAGGGCTAAACACTCTTCCTATAATTGAGTGGGCGTTCACCCCCAGCCTCCCCCTTCTTTTTGCCCTTCATTAATCTGAGTCAAATGGAGTGCTCAGTGGTAAACCAGAATTACATCAAAGTGCACAGTGTAGGTTAATAAAATACAAATCAATAAATTGGTTAAGTAGAGTTGTTTGAGCAGTTCACCAATATGCAGACATTACCTATATAAAAACTAGTAATGCCTGAAATCTCTCAGCCTGGTCAAGGATACTAATATGAGATGACCTGATCAAACTTTTGACAGGAGTCAAATTTAAAGAAGAAGAACAACAACAACAATGACAACAACAATATCAACGACAACTACTCTTTGATTAAGGTAAAAACATGGTAAAAAAAAAGTTCAAAACATCTGCTCAACTTTGTGAGCAGCAAGCAGTATCTGTCTATATAATTAAAATTCAAATCAAAGATCTGTAGAGTTGCTTGGTGCTGATCTAGTCAATGTGTAGGGCTGGCAGAGTCTGAATCGATGTGGGTAACAGCAGTGACAAAATGGATTATCTCTAACATTTCCACTTTTGCCCCCGCCCCCGCTCCCAACCCCCATTGTTAGTGGGGAAGTGGGAAAGGAAGGGGAATAGGGAGAGGGGGGAGGGGGTGGGGTCTACTGCTATATTTCAGAAATATGTACATATGGGTATTAGATCTTGACAATTACATGCAAAGACGTTCGCAACAATCAGAGTAGAAGAGGCTGAGCGGACTGATTTCACATTATCACATTTATCACAAAGAAAAGGTTTTTAAAAAAAAACAGCTGAAGGAAAGGTGTGATGTGGACTTATGAAGTTTTGAAGCGAAACACTTCGTTTGGATCTAAATATTCTCCAAAATATTTGGTTGGAAGATCTCTGTCGGGTAGGTTTTTCTTTGGCACTTTCTTCTTCAGGTCAGCCTTGAATAGATTAGTTTGATGCTGGGTTGGTCTGCGCCTGGAATAAATTAAAAAAAAAAAAAAATGATGTTCTAACAAACAAATCTCTTCAAGAAACAACAAAAATAAAAAGACCTAATACAATGTATGTCACACACTAATACACACACAATGTATATAATATATATAATATATAGTGTGTGGAGTAGACTGTCTTCTTTTCCTGTTCTTTCATGCCACAGTGATACTCTGTTACATATAGAGAATGCAAAAACAAATAAAAAACAAAACAACCAAAAGTAACAATCACTTATTCAAAGTGTCACATTATGCTATAAAGATAAATACAAAAAGAAGAGTGGAATGGACCATGTACTGCTTTTTTCCATTGTCCCTTTGCGTAACCATAGGCCTATACACAGACAGATGCACATTTAGAAAAGCAAACAAATTTTAAAAATGGGGAAAAAGAACAAAGTTCTTTTCAAAGCCCCAAGAAAACAAATACCCCCCCCCCCGGAAAAAAACACCAAAAACCCGACAACAACAACAACAATAACAACAACGACAACGACAACAACAAAATAAACAACCCCCCAACCAATTCCACCTTCCAAAAAAACAACAACAACAACAACAAACAAACAAATTTTAAAGAAAACCCTCTTCATTCACGCACAAGATCAGCCACTACAACATTCTCAGTGAGCTGACCTCTCCCAAATCATAACCACCCTGAAACAACTGAAAGCGTGGGTGCTCCGTTAGCTCATGCTGGACTACAGATAGGATAACCCTGGTTCGAATCCCAGTCAGGGCATTCATAAACTCGGGTCATTTTTGTAGTTTCAAGGCTCTCAACCTATTTGGCTCTGTCCTGTAGGAGACGGGCGCTAAATTTGGAGGTCCCACCTCTTAAATAGCCTTAGTGTTTATAGGGGCGTTAGACCATGCACTTACTTTACTTTTATTTAGTATAAAACCAAGTGCACAACACATGAATGAGCAAATGTATACATAAATACATACGTACCCAGTATAAAGCATGAACACAAAATCTGGCATGTACAAGAATCATACAGTGTTTCGTTTGTTTTTTTCCTTCTCTTGCAAGAGTGTCACAAGTATAAAACATGGTTCTTTTTCCCTGTTGAGCATACATCCTTTTGTCCTTCAGACATTGACTAGACATTTTCCAAGATGTGTATGATAGATCGTGTGTGTGTGTGTGTGTGTGTGTGTGTGTGTGTGTGTGTGTGTGTGTGTGTGTGTGTGTGTGTGTGCGTGCGTGTGTGCGCGAGTGCGTGAATGCGTGTGTGTGTGCGTGCGTGCCCAATGTATGTTAAATATCCGATTTGCTGCTATATGTAATTGCCGAAACATATGTTAAAATGTGTGGATGTATGGGCGCAAGGCCTTTCAAATCAATAAATCATTTTAAAAAATCTCTCTCAATCTCTCTCTCTCTCTCTCTCTCTCTCTCTCTCTCTCTCATTCTGTCTGTGTGTGAGAAAGTGCGTATGCGTGAGCGAGCGTTTGACAAAGGAAGAGAGATAAGAGACGAAGAGAGAGGCACACAAAGAGAGAGAGAGAGAGAGAGAGAGAGAGAGAGAGAGAGAGAGAGAGAGAGA